AATATTATCAGGTAAATTATACCCATGACCACTAAAATATGGACGAATCTTATTTTAACTATTGATCTGTTAATCTTGTCAATCATACCATTTAATTATTTAAACATTATTAATCAAGTTACGTGTTGTTAAAATTTGACGGAGAAGCCGATATAGTAGTTAAAACAATTGGTATAGTTTCAAATTTAGTCATTATTATTTACAAATTCAATCAATTTAGTCAAATTTTATTTAATAAATTTAATTTATTTAGTTAAATGTTGACATATATTGAATATTTTTTCTTAATTTTAATTTAACAATTTTTTTCTTTCAATCAATCATGAAATGTGTCGCTGTATGATTCCAACATCATATATATAATTTATATTTAGTTAATGCAAAAAAAAAACACAAAGTGGTCTAAAAATTTGGACCAATGTAATCTAAAAAATTTAAAAACACTTAAGCCAAAAACTAAATCTAATATTTGGTTTGAATCGGCTTCAATTACAAGCCTCTGGTTCCTTATGCATCAATCAGTCATTTTGGTTTCATTTCTCATCACAATCCAATCATAATCAGATACTTAATCGCAGCTATTTGATTATGTGCAGATGACACAGGGATGTTCTATGGAAACGTTCTATCAGAGGTGGTTGGACAAGGACACCTTCATTTTGAAGCAGGAGTGGGCATTTCCAAGGGAAGTGTATTTCAATGGTGATGAATGCATGCCCCCTCCACCTGATACGTACCAAATTCTGCGCATCAACACCTATTCTTCACCAATTCTTTCCTTATTGGTGAGCTTTTTGTAACAAAATTATCCGATTTTTGTAAATAAAAAAAAAAGTGAGATTGACCCTCACACTTGAGTTACCCATGAAACTTGGGTTTCAACCTCATTAAGCATCTATTTTCTTCAATAATTTATTTTCCAATCATAGAATGACACATATTACTTTATAATTAAAAAATATTAAACTAAATAAAAATAAAAAATCAAAAGATATATACTTTTTCGGTGTCCTCTAAAAGATGTAATTGATTCGGTTATCTTCTTCTCTATACACGATTTATTCTATCTTAATTAAAAAAATGTCTCTTAACATCTCATATGAACCATTTTTTCTACTGCATTAAATTTACTTTGAAGAAACGTTAAATAATCGACCGAATAGACTTTTTGCACGCTGTGTGCAGCAAATATGATTGGTAGGAGTGTAGGACCAAACCATATTATAAACTTTTGATCAACATAAATAAACTTTTTATGTCATATATATCACTCTACTTTTAAGATATAAATCATTTCAAGCTTCTCTCTTTTTATGATGTGTGATTCATTATTTTTTTCATCTTTATTGATCGGGAGTGGTATCAATATTAATGTTCGTTGTCGATCGTTGGTATTTTTATTGTATTTTTTAATAAAAATATCTTTTTTATTTTTTATTTCGTATGTTTATTTTTCTTTTATTTTTAATTTTCAATAAATTCATATTTATAACACATTTTTATATGTCTTTATGACACATTTTCGATCGTTTAGCGTTGTTTTTCATTTATTTTTTAATAGTTGATTTGACATCGTCACGACTGACTAAGATGACGCTTATTTTATCATGGTGGTCTTCCCTAGTTTAGACCATTGGGTTGGATTTAGATACTTGATTTATATTCGTTGATAGTTTTTTCACGTCACTCTATTTATGGTTCTATCGGTGGTCTTTCAATAACTTAATCCTCTTTTGTGGTTCATTTACCGATACAAACAAATTTCTTTGTATATTTCATTGTTTGAGTTTTGGTTAGATTTTTTTAATCTTTCCTTGTATGGTCTTGATTCTTATGTAATCTTAACTTGCTAATTTTGTAACAATAATTTTTAAAAAAATGTCCTGAAATAATGTGTTTAATTTACAAGTATGATCGTAAATTTCTATTATAATTTGAGATTTTTTTAATAAAACTAATGAATTATATCAAAATAATATATATCACTCTAGTTTTGTATAAATCTTTTTTTAAAATTAGAAAATATTCGTTAAAATTGATTCTGATAATTGACATTTGATTTTAGCTAATAAACAAAAGATTAAAGAAATTAAATATTATATATGGCAATCACAATTTCGTTAAAGAAACATAATCTAATAAGACTTGAAATAACAATAATAATAATAATAATAATAATAATAATAATAATAATAATAAAAAGCCTTAGTCCCCTCCCATTCTTTTAACCTAGCTACATTTAAAAAAAAATATTTGTGTTACTTTCCTCTTTTCTTTTGTTTTTTTTGTTTATTCAATGATAGTACTAATTTTAATATTAATTATTGACCGCCGATGATTATTAATTTTTTAATTTTATATTGTCTTTTGTTTTTGTCTTTTTGTTTTTTTTTTTAATTTGAATAAGAATTTTTGTACGCTTTTTTCTTCTCTTTTGACACACGTTTTTTCTGCTCTTGTGACATAACCCCACGTTTTTCGCATACCTTTGCGATTGTTTTGATGCTCGCACAGAGCCCCTCATGACATTTATTTTCTGATTAATTTATCGATAGCCAAGTATTGTCAGATATCCTCTTTAGTAAAAGATTATTTGCTAATACAATCATAATTGCATAGGGAAACAACTTGTCGTGAGATAGTTTGGTTTGTTCACCACTTCTTTATCACTTCATAAAACGTCTCGCTTACTAGAGATAATGGGTTTTTATAAAAGGTTACTGATTTTTTTATGTTAGTAGTAATTTTTATGGGAAAGTTTTTCTTCATATATTTAGGTTTAATATTTTAATTTTTGTATGAGTTTTTTGATTGACTATTATCGTCATTTTTCTTTATATATTTGTGTACATTGTAATTGTAATTTTAATTAATTTAATTTAATGAAATCGAATTGTCATTAGTAAAGGGGAAAATATTCTAGTACCCTGGATATAAAGTTGCCTTCCCACTTTCTTATTTATTAACGAGTGAGAGAGAAAAAGGAAGACCAAGATAGATAGTTATTCCTTGTCCACAAAAAGACAGAGAAATGCGAAGTTGGGCTAGTAAAAAGTCAAAAGTGTTTATGACTTTATCAACACCACATCATATGATTCACAGCCCTTTTCTATTATTCCTGAAAGGCTAGTTGAGTTGAATTTCTCTTTATTTTCCTTACACATATAAAACTACAAGTATTCAAATTTTCACATAAAAATTATAATTACAAAAAATAATTTAAAATTAATTAATAAAATTAAAATTATCGATAAATTAAATTTTAAAAATAATATTATCAAAAGAAAAAACGAATTATGAGATAATTGATGAAGCCATGCTTCATTACTATTTGGTTATTAAAGTGACGGCACCGACTCGGTATTCACGTGTCCTTGCTTTTAAATCGTTCACACTTCAAATTCTCCTTTTACTCGACTTAAAAGGCTTGATGATATGATCAACATTATTTCATAAGAAAATTATATCAAATTCTTGTCATAAATATGACATATAATGATAGAGCAAATCAAATTGACGGATGATTAATATTTTCATTTAATATTAAAATGATATGCTTATTGGGATTATTTCATGATTAAATTAAATGTTGATTTTTTTTTTAGTTTGAGAGGGTGAATTTGCTTGTGGAAGAGAACAGCATTGGACGACTACATGTGTGGTGGTGGAAACGTGGGATTTCCACACACATTGAATATGGACAACGATACCCGTGAGAAAATGCCCATACATATTTACATCTCTCATTTATGATCGCCCTATCCTCATTTTATTTTTATTATTAGTTTGTGAAATCGTAGCCGCTTTCTCCTTTGTTTTTTTTCTTTGAATTTGTATTGTTTTTTTATAGGTAACATCAATTTTTTCTTCTTCGATTTTCTTTAGTCGATAGTGACACCGATTTTAATGTTGGTTGTTGACCGTCGATTATATTTTCTCTTTGTTTTTTCTTTCGTTTTTTAATAAGAATAATTATGCATGTGTTGCATATTTATCTCTGTCTTTGTGGTACGTTTCTATTTTATAGTTCGTTTATCGATGCAATCAGATTTATTCGTATATATTTTTGTTCAAGTCTCTTAGTTGGGTTTTTAACTGGTCATTATATAATCTAAAATGACTAGTTTTAATGTTATAAGAAAAGTTCAAATTATGTATTTAGTTTATGATGATAATTGTAAACTCTTATTGTAATTTCAATTTTTTTTACTTTTTTAATAATAATAACTGCTTATATTAAAAAAATCACTACAATAAAACAGAGTTTTAGCAGCGTTTTTTTAGTCATATAGCGGCGTTTTTAAGCGCCGCTAAAAGCACTTGCGGTGATTGAAAAAACGCCGCAAGAAGCGCTGGCAATACCAGCGCCGCTAAAGTTAGCGGCGTTTAAGAACAAAAAACGGCGTAATAGGTCAAGATCTATAGCGGCGTTTTTAGAACAAACGCCGCAAAAGGTCGATATCTGCAAAAGGTCGATATCTGCAAAAGGTCGATTTCTATTGCGGGGCCGCAAGAGGTCGAGATCAATAGCGGCATTTTTAGAATAAACGCCGCAAAAGGTCAGATCTATCACTGTTTTTTTGAATAAACTGCCTAAAAGGTCAGATCTATAGCGGCGTTTTTGGAACAAACGCCGCAAAAGTTCATATCTTTAGCGGCATTTTTGGATACAAACGTCGCAAAAAGTCAGATCTATAGCGGCGTTGTTGGATATAAACGCCGCAAAAGGTCAGATATATAGCAGTGTTTTTTTTACAAACGACGCAAATTAAAACTACTTTTTCAAATGTTGTTTTCTACTCTTTTGTTACCCAAATTTAAAATTTTAACATATAACATTATCCAATAAACTTTACATCCATAACATCAAAGTTGAAATTCATAAAAAGAAACTTGAAATTTATAATAATAAATCAAAGTTTACATTAATGTAGTTCAACATTGTTAACTAGAATAAACAATAATATGAGCCATAACCACCAAAAAGTATAACAATACTCAAATCCGAAAACCCTTCACAAAATAGTTGGCAATCCCACAGTTTCTCACCTCATCGATTCTATTTTCCGAAGCATTGAGTGAACTGCGTGGCCTTGCTGAAAGGTGAAACATAATCAAATTAGTGAGGACATGTTAGAGAACATTAAAGAATAACAAAATCACAAACATCATAACAAACCCACAAAGAAAACAAGTTGTCCTCTCTGAGCCATTTGTTCGGATGCCAAAACATTGGGAGAAGCTTGTCCTTTCCCATTTACTTCACTGCACAAGGAAATAGAACACATCCTGAGTATTCATGAAGTTAAAGGTGGGCTCTTAAAACCGAACTTTCCCAACTTTCCCAACTTGTCTTGTTCGTGCAAGAAACATACCTAGTCAGAGACATAAGCGCCAGCGGAACAGATAGAGAAATAAACCCTGTTGGAAATGAAATCAAACTTATATTAAGTTGGGATAAAAATAAAAGCATAAATGAAAGAAATTTAATTTAAATGTGCTTTGTTAGAGTTACGAAAGCACCTTCATAGTTTGGAATGTAGATATTTGACCATGTATCCATAGCATGTTAGTGGTAACATCACCGATAGGAGTCCAAGCACTACCAACATTTGCTGCTATCACGATGACAGCTCCTAGAAGCCTATTGCAATGTATATTCATACATGCGGCTTCAAGATATTAATATCACGCAATGTTTAGAACCAAAACAGAAGACTCTGTTGCATAACATACTTGCGGAATTCCGAATGAGGTACTAATTTCCTCAACAAAGAAACCATGACTATTGTAGATGTAAAATTATCAAGGATAGCACTAAGAAAAAATGTCACGAAGCCAACCTACAATTTAAAGAAACATGTGAGACACTGGTATTAGTTTGATTAAACATGAGGAACATACTACTAATAAAGATAAAATACTTCGACAAGAAACAGAAATTACCGTTGATCTGTATTCAAAACAAAATGACACAAAATTCCATATAAGGCTTCACATTATCAAAATTTCTTCATTGGGCTCATTCTAGATAAAATACTAAAATACAATAGGATTATAAGCAGATAAATTATGTTTTGGTAGCATAATAACGTTGGCCATGACACCTAAGCAAGCGGGTTTAAGATTCTTCTGAATGTATATTCACATCGCTCGTGGGTGTCATGCTTCACTGAGCTATTGAACAGACTGTCAATAAGACCATAGGCCACAGAAATCAACTCACCACCCACATTAGAGTCTGCGGCTTTCGAGTGGTTATGTTGTCAGTAACCAGCTTAAATCCTTGATGGGCATCGACTATCTCTACTATGGTCATTGCACCGAGCAAGAAAAACACTATCTCACCGACTTCTGTAGATGCATGCGTCAACTCTGAAACAACTATATCAGGTGAAGGTGCCTAAAAATGAAAATCAAACGTGAAGGCTCAAGCATAAAGTTTGAAATAAAGTAAGAAAATTAACATGAGAGAAACTGGTGGAAACCCGACATGTGCTTGAATCAAGTATCCAATACATAACAGAATTTTGTGTTTTCATCCTAATTTACGATACGCTAATCCAATACATAAGATGAGGCACAGAAGAGAAATACAATCCAATATCAAATATCCGAGTATCATTCTTACCCCGATGCTTCGTACTACCCACAAACTCACAGCCATCAATAATCCTACTCCACTTTTATTAAAGGCTAAAGACTCCTCAAATATAAAGCCAACATATCCTATTTCAAAAAGCAATGCCATAGCAACATCCTGTAGTATGAAGTTTTATAAATTCACGAAAGGCTTCCGTCTATAATCAAATAATACGAGAAACATTGGTCAAAGACAAAGAAGCAATTAAACCTACAAAGAAAGGATTACACAAGGAACTAGAGATAAACCTAGTTGTCAGTAACCCAAGATAGATTAATCGCCACAGTCCTGGTTAAACAACCCCGGAGAAAAATAAAATAAATCCCAAAAAAAATAAAAACAACCCCAAAGAAAAATTAAATAAATCACAGAAAAAAAATGAAAGCTATTTTCAAAATTTTCTTTACCATTTCTCAGGTCGATGCTAGATTCTTCGGTGTTGATATTAAACAGGACACTTTTGAGGAAATGAAAAGCCAAGATTTGAGGAAACTCAAAAATACTGAACATGCTTCTGGTTCAACAAGGTATTTTCTTAGCAATCTCTCTTATTTTCTCATCAATCAAACACAAACTCAGCTAAAAGATTAAAACGCACCATTTAAAGTCTGCTATCGAGAACCATTAGTCGATCCTTGAGCATAAACCAAAGCTACAGAAACAAAGAAAGCTTGAAGTATAAAATGGCAACAGAAAGGGGAAGAAACGAAAACAACAAGATGAAATTAAGCACAATAAATTCAGATCTTCCCGTTTTCCTTTCTCTTTAAATAAGCGAGTGAGAAGAAATGGGTAAAAACCAGATTGGAGGAGATGACGGCGGAGAGGTGGCCGTGAGAGTGAAGGTTTGAGAGAAACTTTAAGCAGCCAAACGTTTTTAAACTACGGGTTAAAGGGTGCCGTGAGTGGAAATGAAAAGGGTTAAAGGGGTTAAACTTTGAGTTGCGTTTTTAAACACAAACGTTTCGTACGAATCTTTAGTGGCGTTTATATAAAAACTCTTTAGCGGCGTTTGTATAAAAACGCCACCAAAGTACTACTTTATAGCGGTGTTTTTATAAAAACGCCATTAAAGTATGAGTTTATAGCGGCGTTTGTAAACATAAACCCCATTAAAGTAAGAATCTTTAGCGGCGTTTGTATCAAAATAACACTAAAGTACTAGTTTATAGCGGCGTTTGTATAAAAATGCCATGAAAGTATGAGTTTTTAGCGGCGTTTGTATATAAACGCCATGAAAGTATGATTCTTTAGCGGCGTTTTTTTAAAACACTGCTATATGCATAAAATTAGTGGCGTTTCTATTAAAACGCCGCAAAATTTATTATTTTGTGGCGTTTGTTCTAAAAATACCGCGATAACAATAAATTTACCGGCGTTCGTTCAAAAAACGCCGCTATAAACCCATTTTGCTATAGTGAATGATTGCCCTATCCTCCATCTACATATATATATCTACGCGTGCACATTTAATATTTATCCTCTCTAAATATAAATATATATTTTTATAATTTATTTCTTATTTAAACTACAATAATATCTCTTATTAATAATATATTACAAAATTAATTAATTTTACATATTATTTTTTATTTACATGATTTTATGTAATAGACATAAGAATTTCTATTATTGGTCATTGGATATAACAAATCTTGATAAATATAAATATTGCTACATATCTACACCTATTACTAGTGTCTTCTTTCCAAAATATTGTTACTGCCATTAGTTTCAATTCATAGTTTATTGTATATAATATATTTTTCAATTTTTTTGTATGGATAATTCTGATTTTATTACCCAAATCAAGGTTTAGTTACAACCAATCCATCAATCTACAACAAAAGAATTAGGAAAAACAACCTACAAAATGATTAGTTAGACTATACCCCAAACATTACAAAGCATTAAGTTAGTACTATCTAGTCTATTGATATTAATTCCCCTAAGACGGATTCCAACAATGTCTTTAACAGCTTTGAGCAAGCAATAGCAAGACGGATTCCCTCGAGATAATTTTCTCGAAATAATTTCTTCACGAGATAATGCACTCCCCATATTATTTGCTGAAATAGGGTGAAATCCACAGTGTTGGCCGTAGGTCGCCATGTCTTCCGGGCGACCTACTACGTCGCCAGCTTCCCGTCGAGCTGCACAGAGAGAATGAACGTTTGAATGTTTTGCATGGAACATGCACGTCCCCAACACATAGGTCGCCATGCTCTCCGGGAGACCTTGTAGGTCGCCATGCCCTCCGGGCGACCTTGTAGGTCGCCATGCCATCTGGGTGAACTTGTAGGTTGCCATGCCATGCAGCTATAATAGCTGCATTATTACAGCATGATTTGAGCAGCAAAGTGCATCAATAATTCATGCAACAGCTGGCGTGATTCCCTTATGCTTGCAGCCTTAATAGCTGCATTATTGCAGCAGTTCACTGGTGGACCAGGCTGAAAAAAAAATTATTGTCATTGATTCAATACATTGATGCAATAATTTATGGGTGAGGGGGGCTGTTGCTATATAATATGGTGTGAGGGGGGCTGTCGGTTGTAAGAAGGAAGAAAGAAAGGTGAAGGAAAGGAAGAAGAAAGAAATAAAGGTAACCGAGCATAATTTAAATTAGTTTAAATTATTAGTTAGTTAGTTAGTTAGTTAGTGGACATAGTTTAGGTTATTCATATAATATAACAAAAATTTAGTTAATTACTTTGTAAGTTTAAGTTAGATTAATGTTAAAGAATAATATTTAATTTGTTTGTTGAATCATATTAAATTAATATATATGGTTTATTATATGTCGTTATTTTATTAAAAAATAGTTATAGTTTATATTAAAGTCATTTATTATGTGTCGTTTAATTTATATTAGTTTGTTAGTTTGTTGATGTTATATTATATGAAAAAAACTAGTTAATTTGTTTTTTTAGTTTGTTAGTTTAAGTTAAGTTGTATTATAATAAAAAATAGTTTATTAGTTTAAGTTATAATTTGTTATTTTTTGTTCTTGTTTAGTGTAAATTAGTTAGTTAACATTAGATTATATTAAATTATTTTTTTAAATATTGTTGTTTAATTTTTTTTACAGATTCATTCGAATGGCTTACCAAATTCCACTGCTGAGACTTGACAATGAACATATTTCAAGTCATTTGAGAATAATGGTGAATAAAATATTTGTTTAATGAATTATTAGTAATAAATATTTGAATATTATTTTATGATTGTGATAAATTATTTGTATTATTTAATTACAGGAGGACGAGCAGCGAGTCCTTCGTCATCCGCTACATAAAGTACCCAAGCCATACCGATTGATAGAAGAAAACTTGCAAGAGGCTGGATTTTGGTATGTAACATTTGTGCGAGATTACAAGTTGGTCACAGGTTTGATCAGTACGTTGATTGAACGTTGGAGACCATAAACGCACATGTTTCATTTGCCGTGTGGCGAATATATGATAACTTTGGAGGATGTGGCAATGTAACTCGGGGTCCAAACAAATGGGATGTCGGTTGTAATATCACATGAGTTTAATAATGTGGCACAACTTTGCAACTTGTTTCTTGGGAAAACGCCCGTACCACCAGAGTGTAAAGGGTGACGTGTGAGGTTGTCATGGTTGAAGAATTAATTTCAGCTTCAACCAAATAGTACGGAGCACGAAATTATATATGCAACACGAGCATATATATTACAGTTGATTGGGGGAATTTTGATGCCAGATAAATCCGGTAGTTATGTTCACACTCAGTATTTTCTTTTTTTTTTAAAATTTGAGAATAGTAGGCAATATAGCTGGGGATCGGAGATATTGGCGTTCTTGTATCGTGAGATGTGCAAGGCGTTATTAGTCGTGAATGATAATAATACAGCAGAAATCGGTGGATGTCTGTTGCTGCTACAATCATGGGCTTGGCATAGACTTCCGTTTTTTACATCGATTAGTCGGACTGCGGTTGACTTTCCACTTGCCGGAAGGTAATATGAATTCTCTATTTTAATATAAAATATTAATTATAAAATATTTATTTTGATTAAAATTATTGAACAAAATGGCCATATTTTTGTTTTGATTGATATACAGATGGAGGCATAAAATTGAAGGTACGGGGTTGGTGTACAACAACATTAAAGAGTTCAGGCTGAAGATCGACATTAAGGCCAAAAAGGAGGTATGTATAATATGTTATTTTTAATTATTATTTAAATTAACTATATTATTTGATTTAAATCAATTTTATTGTTATTTTAATTTTACAGTTTAATTGGAGACCATACATGAATTAAGAAATTTTGGCGTTGGTGCCGCACGATGTTTTAGATGGGTTTCAATATTGGTGTGCTGTTACACCATTGATCAATTTTTCTTTTATTGAGATCTAATTTGGGGATAGAGTGCTGAGACAATTCCACTCCCACCAACCTATTCCGTGGAGTCCATGGGATCATGACCTCCTCCAAAACTTAGATTGTCGTTGTCAGGTGAATTGGGTTGAGACGTATGACCACCTGCATAGATTTGATGGTCGCCGTAAAGAAAATGTTAATTGGGTTAAGAAGCATGCAACCTACATTAATGCTTGGAACAATAGGGCTTCATTCATGCCAACTCTTGACGACATTCAAGACGACGACTTTAATTTTGAGACTTCGGCTTACCTTGCTTATTTTTTGGATAATGGAAAGCCATTCTTGACAACAATAGTAGAGAGACGATATTTTTTGAGGTTTAAGAAAAGATTTGGTAAAGCTGAATGCTCTCTACCAAGTGGGAGCGGGAATTCATCTCAACAACCTGAAGTGGAAATGATCGATGTGGACAATAGCGCACTACAATCGTTCGACGATGTGGGATCGTTGCATCACGCATTTGATGTTTCTACTGTCCTGGCATACATACCAGAGTTTGTGCAGCCTGAGGCACCCATCTACACTCCCATGTTTGCGTCGACGTATGACTTTGAACACATGGCAGTTTAAATGCCCCCAATGAATAAGGAGGATGGGTACCATACTCCTGAGCAACCGCAACGGCCACAACGCATCAGACATCCGCCCCGACATTATCATTCAACAACACCCCGGTATCGACAACAATTGTAAACTCGTT